ATGTAAAGAATTTATTAAAGCAGCTATGTCCCCCAATTATACCATGTTATATTTAATTGCCCTTGTCTGTCCTTGTTTGTTTATTGATATTTAAGATGACTTAAAATTAGCATTTGATATTAATAGAATTATACAAGTTTTATTTTGGTTACTATATACCTGGTATGTATTTTTTCCATACTTTCAACCTGTATTTCCCACTGTGTTTTCCACGTGTATCTATAAACAGCATGTCCATGGAAGATATTTTTCATATACATTCTGACAACTTCTGTCATTTAACAGGTGAATTAAATTTATTTAATTTTATTGTGAGCACCAAATATCTGGGTTTGTTTCTACATTTGTGATTTTTACTTATAATTTTTTATTTGTCTTTTTTCACCTTTTTGTGTACTGCTTTAGATTGATAGAGGGTTTTTTTTTTCTCTTTCTGATTTGGAAATGATACATAGTGACCCTTTAGTCTTTTAGTAATTTATCCTGATTACTACTTACCCATATTATATGTAATTTAAAATGTCCTCCTTCTACAGAAATATCTGTGGAAGGTCCTTCATCTGGTAATATTAGCAATTATCTCTCTGAATTTTGATTATATGAAAATGTCTATATTTCTACACCTTCCCTTGAATAATATTACCTTGATAGAAAAATCATGAATTTTCAGTTACTCTTCTCAGCTCTTTTAGAATATTTCCATTTTGTTAAAATTCTGTCTTCAGTCTAAGTACACTCTTTGTGATGGCTTTCTCCTTTTTTTTTTTTTCTCTTGTTTCTTTTAAGATCTTTGCTTTGTCTTCAGTGTTCTGTAGGATCAGAACACTGTGGTGTTAAGTTCATTTGTTAGAATCAAGCTAGGGTGTGGTATGCTTTTTAAATCTGATGCTTCATTTGCTTTATTTTATAAATGTCTTGTCATCTGCATTGCTCTCTTTAGTTTATGCTGACAGTCCCCAAAATATTTCCTCATATTTTGTGATTTTGTATTTTGAATTGACTACTAAAGCTTAGTGGACCTTCATATATCACAGTATCATAATGCAAAAATTGAAGGTAAGCTTCTCAAGATAAGATTTTTTTTTCCTGCCAGGTAGCACAGGAAAGTTGCTGTAAGAGATCCAGTTGTTAGCTTCACTTACCAGCTTGAGGTTTCCATAATAATATAAGTAGTATAAATTTAGACATCTAACTATATGTGAGGGCAAGCCTGCGGTTATAATTTTTAAGAGACATTATCTTTTCCCAGCCAGAGCTCAGTTTGAGACAGAAAAAAACAAAAAAGAAAGAAAACAACACTTATCTTTGTATATCTTTTTTTTCCTACTCTAGCCTCTCATTATTTGAGAGCAGTTATTTCAACTGTAAGCAGTTATTTCAGATTCAGTTCTCTAGTTCATGCTGCCCAAGGTTTTTACTGCTGTTCTTGGATTAGTAACTAACACTTAATAATTGAATGTGAATACTGAATCTTTATTATGATCAAGATGGGCAGATTCATTCAGCATAGTTAACAAAGCATCTTGATTTTAAGAAACTTTTTTTCAATCCCTGGAGTATTCCCTATTCAATACAAGATTAACAATGTATTTAAAAGAATCTTTGTTTTATTTTATCCAGAACTCCTAGGGTTTTTTTTTTTTTCTGAATATCTAACATGCCACTGCCAGAAACTAAATTGTTTTTATTTTTTTTTAATGCTTGTGACACAAGAGGATTTCGGATTCTCTTCATGAAAATGAATCAGTTGGATTTCTTAAATTATGGAGACATGGAAATAGTCTTAAAATGAACTTTTATATTTATAAAATATTTAAGGCTCTGTGGATTCATGAAACTAATTGTAAAATCAAAATCAAAATACAGTATCAAAAAAGTCTAGCTTTTGGGTCATTGGATTCCTAAAAGGAGAGAAAAAAATTTAAAAATATTTTAAAATATTATGAATTAAGCCTTTCAAGTTTGTCATCTCATGGGTCCCTGAGTTATATTTTGTTCAATATTTTTTTCTTTTTTCTACAAATGTATAATTTCTGTTTATGTCTTCAAGTTCTTTGAATCTTTCCTCTGCCATCTCCATTCTGCTATAGTGTCTGTCTAGTGATTTTTTTAATATTCCAGATGTTTACCTTTTTCACTTCTAGTATTTTTATAATTTCTAACACTAATATTAATTTTTTATTAATTTCAAAGGAATTTAGCATTACTTTTGGAACATGGAGTTGCTTTAAAATCTGATAATCCCAACATATAGGTCATGTTGCAGTTTTTATTTGTTGATTTTTTTTTCCTTTAAGAATTGTTCATATTTTCCTGGTCCTCTGTATGTTGAATACTTTTAGACTGTACCATACTCATTTTGTGTGTTATTTCATGAAACTCTTGAGTCCTGTTAAAACCTTTGGAGAAAGCACAATTTGTTTTATTGTGTTTTGCCATCAGTCTAGTTAGTTTCAGACCACAGGTTCTGTTTCAACTTCTTCAAGCTGTATTTCTAATGTAAGTTCAATTTTTTAAGTGTTTGTTCTGCTGCCTTGGGTCTATCTCATACACACACTTCTGAGGGGTCATTGTGAGACTAGGGTTTCAGTGTATATTAGAGTTAAGTTCTCACAGCCTCTGATACTATGCTTTGGGTCTGTTCCATGAATGTGCATTTCAAGGATGAATCTGGAACTTGTGTCACTTCATACACAGAGTCAGGGAACCCTCTTTCCCGGCTATCTTCTCTACAGGATTTCTCACGTACTCAACCGTTTCCAGGGACCCTTTTACCTATCCACTGAATAGAAAGAGAGAGCTCAGAGTTTTAACCACCTGCTCTATTGCTTATTTCTGTGTGAACGATCTTGCTGGGGCAAAACAGTGACAGAAAAAAGAAAAAACTGAGGTCCCTGTCCTGAACACCATTCCTTTGGATGTCATGGTACCATTTTCTCAGTTTTTCTGGTCAGAGAGAGGGGAAAGGGGGGTTTCTCTTGAGGTTGTAGGCCTGCTACCACTACTACTTCGCAGATCTGTGGCTGGGCTCTTGAGGCAGGGCCAGAAGAGGAAAACAAGAAAAAGTGCTGATCTTCCCCTCTACCCCTGGTGACAGCTGACAGAAGGTCCTCATCCCCTCTTCTGGCCAGAAAGACAGTGGTTACCTTAGAATTTTTCTTCCTATACTTGCTGTGCAGTTCCGTATTTGAGGATACCCTCAGATCAGGCTAGGAAATAAAAGAGGAAAGAAGAAGAAAAGGAAAAAAAAACCTCAATCAGGTTGCAGTTATTCTTCAAATTGTGGTTCCTCTTGCCAATCTGCCTTCTATTGTTAACTGTTCAGAGTCCTTGAGAAGTAGCTGTTGTTTTTTGTTCAGAGTTTTAGCTATAAACAGTGGAAGAACTAGGCTATCGGGTTTATTTTTTTGGCACCAGAAATTCCTTAGTTGGCAGTGTAAATTCCTGCTCCAAAAGCAGATTATCACATGCATTGATTGCCCAAACCTTAAAAACACATTTAATATTGACTTTTGGTGACTAGTGACTACTGATGCAGGCTGGATATGCATCTCCCTTAAAATCAGTTGATTTCTATGTGATACTTCCTTATGCTGGTTTGGATTTACAAACCAATTAGATACCAAAATTTCTGTAATTCTAATGTTCTAATTATTCATCAGAATTTTTTTCCTAAATATAAATTCCTCCTGTTGAATATCTCTGTTATCGGGAAAGAGTTCTTCTGAGCAACTTGTGAACACAGTGGAATTGATTATAAAACACAGACCTCCTTTTAAACATTGATGTTGATGATTCTTTAGTAACCAGTTTCTCTAAACTAAGAGAAACTATTTTAAAAAGAAGAAAGTAGCATTTTCACATTCTGCATTTCTCTCACTCTATTCTGGTGGAATTGAACTAAACCCATTCATTCCAAGTCACTATCGTGCCTAGAGTTCAATACGCTCCTGTGTAGCTTGATGAAGAGGCTGTAAAGCTTTCACCTGTTCCTTTTATTTTCAGCAACTTAAAAAAAAGCTAGTGGTATCTGCTTTGTGTTGTTTTCCTTGATTTTTTTAATGTTCACCAAGGAGATTGTCTCTTTACATCTTTCTAAGAGATTTATAAATGAGCATAGAATAGAAAGGAAATAATTAGAGCTAGCCAGAATACTAAAATCCATGTGTACGATCCTAAGGTTGGAAATCCCTATTCATTCATTTGGGCAGCTTTTCTCCAGAGGCCCCCTTGAGAATCCATTGAGTTAAAAGTGACAAAAATAATCAGTTACTCCGGTTTTAACTTTGTTGCCCCAAGAGATATGGTACCTAGAGAATTAAGCAACCAAATCAATCACTTCCCTTCCCTTCTGTGAAGCCATTATTATTCTACCCTGAATATTTCAGATATGAAATAGAGGGACAAATTCTGATTTTCAATTTATGCTTTTTCTTAACATCAAAAAATGAGTCATTGGGGAAGGTTAACTCAACCTGGTTTCTATGCATATTTTCACATCTCCCTTGTGCTGCTGTGTACTTATTCAGGGTCAAGAGAAATTAGTCAAAATCATAATTGTCATCAATCTATATCATACATAGAAATTCACCATTAACTCCCAAAGAAATAATTTTTGGAATTTAATAATAAATTTGGGGTTTAAGAAATAGACTTCTAAAGTAATCAGGGTTGTAAAACATATCTTCTACACCTAGGAACTGAGGAGCTCTTTAGGGAGATCCTCTTAGGCTAAAAGTGTAAATAGCAAATAACAAGATAGGAAACTGTTTGAAAGTGGCTCTGCCTTTTTTTGCATTTCCACCACTAGTGTGTGAGAGCAGCAATTGTTTTGGGTCTTTGCCAGGAATTGGTGTTATAAGGATTTTAGCTATTTTTAATTTCAATTTTAATTTTTCCATTCTAGTATGTAGTGGTATCTTATTATGGTTCTGATTTGAATTTTCATAATGATTAATGATGTTGAACGTATTTTCATGTGCTTATTTTTGATCCACATATTCTCTTTTTTAAAATATCTGTTCAAATACTTCGCCTATTTTTTAATTGGACTGTTAGCTTTCTCAGTCCAATTGGACCACTGAGTTTTGAGAGTTTTTAAACATATGTATATATATACTGGATACAAGTCCTTTGTAAGACATGTAGATTGTATATGTATTGTCAAAAGCCTGTCTTTTCACTCCCTGTCTATCAGAGTCTGTATGTTAATTAGGGCCAAGGCCCTTCTAAAATATTAGAAGTTTAGTTTTAAGTATTCTGACTATTCTTGACTTGTAACTGAGATAGACAGCCTTTAAAACTTTATTATTTCCTGTGGAATATATCTATTAACAAAGGAGGTTATGTTATACATGCTTGGTTTTTAGGGAGTATTTTTTTTGTCTGTTAGTGTATGTTTATAATAGGAAACTGTTTAAATATTTTTGGAAAAACATGATCACTTTAAATCACAAAATTATGTGGTCACATAAAGCTGATATTCACCTACTAACCCTATGGTGATTAACTAGTATCTCACTGTCTTGATCCTGGAACTCCCCAGCATTACAGTAGTGGTTTGATGTGTTTGTGAGTCCGTGTGGCAGTCATTCACTGCTGAGTGCTCGTTGGTGTGCTTTCCAACCTGTCTCAGCCCTGTTTGAAGTAAGGCAGAGCACTGTCGCCAGTTCTGGTCAGTGTCCCAGAGGGAGTGAAGTGTATCACTTCCAGGTTGAAGCTTTAAGAGGAGGTTACACATTCCAGATGGTGCAGCTGTGAAAATGTGACTCTTTGTCATCTGTGATCCTTGAGGGACTGTATGGAGCAGAGGTCTTCACTAGTTTTAATTATGTATGTAACCTAAGTGAGAACTAAGCTTCTATTTATTTGTTAATTCACTGAAGTCTTGGGAATATTTTCTCATTACAGCCTGAGATAATCTAATAGAACCAAGAAAGTCTGAAAAAATTAGTATCCATTGCTTTAGTATTCCCCAATAGTCATGTTTGTCACAAACCCAGTGATTCTACTTGAATCATTTCTAAAAGGATGCACAGATGTAAATCTCCCATGTCATCATGTATGTGTCACACACACACACGTACACACCTTCAGAAATGCATAGTGGAGTTTTAGCAGTGTGGTTAGTCTTGAGCAGTAGGGTAGGGTAGAATAAGTGGAAGGGATAGAACCAGAGTATTTTCCCTTTTTTATACTTCAATCTTTTCTATATAATTTTTACTTTTAAAGCCAGGATCATGTATGACTTTATGATAAAAAACAAATTAAAAATAAGTAAGAAAGTATATTCCTTAAAGTTTGTGTATCATTAGCTCAAATTTTCTGTCTTTTTTTGCTTCAAAGAATTACTTGATTTCTTTTCATCTGCCTGGCAGTAAAATATGTTTCTGTTTTTAAGCCAAAAATTAAAGACAGTACTCTTTGACCCAATCTCCTTTTCAGCAATCTCTTCTTTCTTTTGTATGTTTAATTTCTCTATCATACTCTATCACTCTTACTCTCAATTTTTCAATCCCTCTACCAATTACTTCTTTTATCTCCTTCAACATATTCAAATCCATCTTATTCTCTTGCCACTCCTATCCCCACTGACAACAAAACATAGTGAGCATTCTCATCTCCAATTTTTGTGAAACTTCCACTGTGTAATTTCCAAAAAGGATATATATTTTCTTCTGGCTCAGTTTTATCCCCTGTCCACATTCATTGTTCCTTCTTAGTGAATAATTCTACTTTATGTGTCTTAACTTCAATTTCCCTTGTTTTAAATGAACTCACCTCCTTTCCCACACATTCACTCTTCCTCCCACATTTCTCTCCAAGTTACCACTAATCTTGTCTCTCTGACTTGAATACGCAGGGCTAACCTTACATTTTCCTTCTTTATCAACCTTCACACATCCTTGGATCTCTACTGGGCATTTGTCCTGCTTTGAACACCCTTCCTGTATTTAGGAATTTCTACTCTATGAAACCCACTTCAGGGTAGAAACCAGAAACTTTATCCCAGACTTTCAAAGGCCTGTGACCCAAACTCTGACCAGTGGGCATAGAGACTTTGGTTTCGAAGAGAATAAAATGAAAAAAGGCATGATATAGAGAATTTACTCTGGTAAGGGTAGCAGAGGAATTGAGTTCTCAGAAGCTGTCATGGTAGAGGTTGACTGATGCTTCTGTCCTCATAATTGTCTTAGTGACTGGCGATGTTTCCTTCCAAACATGGCAGCGGGAGCATCTGCATATGTTAAGGGATGCAGCTTCCCTAGGGTTGAACAAGAGTCAAAAGTCCTCGTGGTGCTCTACGAGGCCCTGCACGGCATGGCCACCCTTTATTCCTGCAGTGTCTTAACAGCAGGCCTGTCTTTCTTACTGTCTCTCAATCCCATTGGCTTCCCTGCTGTTCCCTGAACCTGCCAGGCAAGTTTTTCATCAGGCCATTTATAGTTCCCATGGTCTGGAAGGGATCTTCCCAGTTTTCCAAGTCTGATCCTCCCACCTATTCTTCCTAGAGATTCTTTGAGTTACCTATCTTATAATAAGGTTTCTGTTTTGTTTTTCTATCAAGGGTGGAATTGATACTTTCAAAGAAGGTCCTTTGTTAATGCACATCCTTTTAATAGGCCCAGTAGATATCCACACCAAAGTGTCCCACACTGTACCATGTTGCCTCGTTTCCATTTATCCTCATGTGAGTCTAAATTAGGCCCTTTTACCTCTAGCCTGAACTATAGCAACACTCCAAAACTAATTTTCTTTCTACAGTATTATCCTACCCTAATTTATCCTCTGATTAATCTTCCTTAAACTCTAAATAAAGTGGTTCTAATGCCAAAACAACTTGTCAATAGAATGGATGGGCAGTAGGAAATTAAAGTACCTCTTGGTACTGAACACGTGTAAAAATACTAATTATTTAATTTGTTTATATTTCAACTGGCTGCATCTGAATCAGTTAAAGACAACCAAAAGATATTTAAATAAATGTCAGAATGTGTTTTTTTGTGTTGGAAAAATAGTATAATAGTAGAATGATTTCACAAGAACATCCTTAGTTCCCATTTCTAGATGTGCACTTAAAACTTCATAGCTTATTCTTTGTTATGGCTTGTCCCTCCCTCAAAAAAAAAAAAAGGAAAAAAAAGATAATGTTGAATTCCTACCTCTCAGTACCTCAGAGTGAAGAAGTGATTAGTTAAGATGATATCAT